CTCAATGAATTTCTTCTTCGGGTTACCCAAAGACGCACCCAAGAATACGGGTATTCTTGTATTTGTTGACAGATTCAGCAAAGTGGTACACCTTGTGGCCGTACGGGAGTCAATCACGGCAAGTGGCTGTGCTTGTGTCTTTATCGACACCATCTTCCGACTTCATGGGTTGTCCCGTGAACTCGTATCAGACAGAGATCCACGCTTCACTGCTGAATTCTAGCGCTCCGTGTTCAAATCACTTGGAACGCGCTTGAAGATGTCTACATCTGATCATCCAGAGTCAGATGGTCAGACGGAACGTGCCAATCGTGTCCTTGAAGAGATACTTCGAGGATACGTACACTCCTTTTAGACTTAGAGTGAGTTCTTGCCAATGGTAGAGTTTGCCATTAACAACTCGGTGCATGCGTCCACGACACATACACCGTTTTACGTGAATGGCTTACGCCATCCGCGTGTACCCACCTTACTCGAGTGTAACTCTGGTTTAAGGGGGGGGGAGAGACTCGCGCGAGCAAAAACCGATTTGTATCATGCTCTTCACGCTCTGACGAAGAGGTCATTGCGTTTGATGCCGATATCGACAACATCGATATCGAAGAAGATGATGCCAGTGAGAGCGAGGAAGCCCTCACTGAAGAAAAGGTTGATGTTGCTGCAGTGCGCTCACAGCACACTGAAGCTAACGAGTCATCAGATGAGTTCATACTGGCTCGTGAAACGGTAGTCCGTTTTGTGCAAGACTCCATCGCCGAAGCGGTGGATGAGCAAAAGCAAAACGCTGACAAGAATGGAAGGGCAAACACTCTTTTATTTAATAAAGGTGACTTAGTCCTACTGTCTACGGTTAATCTACCAAAGCATGTAGTGACTAACTTGGGTAGTAGTAAACTACTACCCAAGTACATCGGCCCATTTCATGTATTGCACTGCCTAGGCAATGCATACACGATCGAGTTGCCACGTAAGATGCGAACGCATCCCACGTTTTACGTCGGTCGGCTTAAGCCGTACCATCAGTACGCTGCTTCTTCCGATGAAGAACGCCCTTGCGCTCAAGCATCTCGCAGAGAGCCTTGTGCTCCCGATGGTGGGCATCGACAAGGGTCTGGAGAGTAGTTATCTCATCCCGAGACCGATCAACAATCCCACGAGCTACCCTTAGCTCGTCACGAAGAGATGTCAGAGCTCTCTCGTTCTCAAGCTGAGCAAAGGCAAACTCAGCTCGATGCTTCGAGGCAGTGTCCGCCATTTGGAGACGCCTATTTCGCTCATGCTCGAGATCGTCGCGTAACCCTTGCGTTACGCGATCAAAGAAGCTCTCGGGAACACACGGATCCCCATGATCGTGTGGAGAGCGTCTTTCCTCCTCCTCCACCTCCATTAGAGGACTCTCGCGGTGGCCAGCGCTATCTAGTTGAGCAGCTGTTGAACGACCGCGACGTGAACGGACGTCGGACGAGTTATCTCGTCCGGTGGCGCGGCTATCCCCCGTCCTAGGATACTTGGGAATCCCGCTCCCAACTAATGGTTGACGTACTGGGTCTGGTTGAGCAGTACGACGCGACACATCCTGTGCCGCAGAAGGACCGCCGGAGAAAGTCTTCCCGGCACGGTCATAAAGGGATTTTAGGTTGTCAATCCCTTCGTACATCTCAGTAGAGATACGTACGCGCCACCACGGGCTATTAGGGAGGTAAGCCTCCTTAGGTGCTCGTGCAGAGTTGTTCACACAACATGGGCACGAGTCTCCCCAAGAGAGGCAGGGTAACCCCTTCTCCCTTGACAGACGATGCAGCTTGTAGCGTGCACCTGTCGGGGTTCGCTTTTCAAACTTATCGCGAGCTTTGATAATTTTGTCGTTCAAGCGTCACGACCTACATCCTCAAGGTTATACCGAGATATTGTTTAAATATATAGGCGTTCCACGCCTGAAGCAGTAAGGGACCATCACGCTTGTGATTCCCACTGTACCATCAATGTCTAAAGAAAGCATCGATGAAGAAATCATTCTCAGCGCGATAGTTTTTCGCGCTGGGGTCAAGGTGATGGATCCTTGACGAATCGAACAACCGTGTTCGATAACGATCACTCGTCGTCGCCGACAAGTGATCCATGACGGATTTAGGAGGCATCCATGCCTTCTTCTCAGGAGCGAGACGCAACACGCTGAGGTCCCGCTCTTCCTGCGACGTGCCGACAGAAGGACTGGCACCTCGCTGCGAAGTGGTGTCAATAGGAGAACCGACACCACAGTTAGCGCCCGAGTCTTGCGATCTAGAACGCCTTCGCTTTGGCGATGGTTCGTCTGATTCTTCAGACGAACCAAAGATACTACGACGCATAGCATCATCCATGCTACGCTTGGCAGGCGGCTTGGATTCGATCGCCGTCGATACGGATCCGTCTTCCGTATCAGGAGAGTATGAGACTCCGAGCTCATACTCTGTGAAGACATGAGTGACTTCATGACCAGCATTTGCATCACTAAGTAACACAGACTGAGTCGCTTTAGCAAACGATGAGACATCAGTTGCTGTGGTTTCTGCTTCGGCGTCTGCACAGAGACGTGCGGACGCGCTTTTGGCGGCCTTGCTCGCGCATCGCATGGGCTTGCTAACCATGCGATGAAATGTTGGAAAGTGGACTCGGACCAACAAGTGCAAACCCCGTCCCAAATGACTTGAGACGAGTATCCATTTAGTCAATCAGTCACTAAAGTGACTGATAGTTATTGGGGGGGGGGTGATGTAACGGGGTGAATCGTTACATAACCATTTACTAGAAATTGTTAATAGAATATAACTATAAGAGTTATATTCTCAGAATAGTGTCATAAGGACAAACATTCTGCAGCACTTACGAGTAGTTCCTAATTGGTTGATAGAGGCCATTATATCAACCAACGAAGACGCGCCACGACAGACGCACGCAATGAGTGGTGAGCAGATAGTTGATTTACACATTTGTATTCAGACATAGTTAGATGAGGATAAATAGTGATTTAATGCAGACATTAACTATTATAAATACAGTTCTACTTTTTACTTTAACCAAGTACTCGCTTCTTCTTACCGTCTTCCTCTGCACGTACGAGTGTACGTGAAATTCCGAGGCACCGCCTTATTCTGTCGTCAGAATAGGTAGCTTGTACTGTCACCAGTACAAGCTTCAGGGTGCCCGTTACAATTGCGTTTTGCTATTCGACGCGACGTGCGATGCGTGAGCGAGACATGCGTGATGTAACGGGGCACCCTGAAGCTTGTACTGGTGACAGTGCAAGCTACCTATTCTGACGACAGAATAAGGCGGTGCCTCGGAGCTTTCTCGTACACTCGTACGTGCAGAAGAAGACGGAAGAAAGAAGCGAGTACTTGGTTAAAGTAAAAGTAGAACTGTATTTATAATAGTTAATGTCTGCATTAAATCACTATTTATCCTCATCTAACTATTGTCTGAATACAAATGTGTAAATCAACTATCTGCTCACCACTCATTGCGTGCGTCAAATCGTGAACGTTCGTTGGTTGATATAATGGCCTCTATCAACCAATTAGGAACTACTCTGGAAGTGCTGCGGAATGTTTTGTCCTTATGACACTATTCTGAGAATATAACTCTTATAGTTATATTCTATTAACAATTTCTAGTAAATGGTTATGTAACGATTCACCCCTATCACCCCCAATAACTATCAGTCACTTTAGTGACTGATTGACTAAATGAATACTCGTCTCAAGTCATTTGGGACGGTGGGACTGTTGGTCGAGTCCACTCAACATTTCATCGCATGGTTAGCAAGCCCATGCGATGCGCAGCCGCGCACGCTGCGACGGCGAAACTGCAGCAACTGATGTCTCATCGGTTGCTGAAGCGACTCAGTCTGTGTCACCTGGTGATGCAAACGCTGGTCATGACAGTCATGTCTTCACAGAGTATGAGCTCGGAGTCTCATACTCTCCTGATACGGAAGACGTATCTATCGACGGCGATCGAATCAAGCCGCCTGCCAAGCGTAGCATGGATGATGCTATGCGTCGTAATATCTTTGGTTCGTCTGAAGAATCAGACGAACCATCGCCAAAGCGAAGGCGTTCTAGATCGCAAGACTCGGGCGCTAACAGTGGTGTCGGTTCTCTATTGACACCACTTCGGCAGTGCCAGTCCTTCTGTCGGCACGCATCTGGAAGAAGCGGGACCGCAATGTCTTGCGTCTCGCTCCAGAAGAAGGCATGGATGCCTCCTAAATCCGTCATGGATCACTTGTCGGCGACGACGAGTGATCGTTATCGAGCACGATTGTTCGATTCGTCAGGATCCATCACCTTGACCCCAGCGCGAAAAACTATCGCGCTGAGATGTTTCTTCATCGATGCTTTCTTTAGAGCATTGATGGTACAGTGGGAATCACAAGCGTGATGGTCCCTCACTGCTTCAGGCGTGGAACGCCTACATCCATAACCTTGAGGATGTAGGTCGTGACGCTTGGAACGACAAAATTATCAAAGCTCGCGATAAGTTTGAAAAGCAGCCCGACAGTTGCACGCTACAAGCTGCATCGTCTGTCAATGGGAGGAGGGTTTACCCTGCCTCTCTTGGGGAGACTCGTGCCCATGTTGTGTGAACAGGCTCTGCACGAGCACAGGCGTTACCTCCCTAATAGCCCGTGGTGCGCGTGTGCATTGTCTCTACTGAGATGTACGAAGGGATTGACAACCTAAAATCCCTTTATGACCGTGCCGGGAAGACTTTCTCCGGCGGTTCCTGCGGCACAGGATGTGTCGCGTCGTACTGCTGCAACCAGACCCATCACGTAGTTGGGAGCGGGATTCCCAAGTATCCTAGGACGGGGGATAGCCGCGCCACCGGACGAGATAACTCGTCCGACGTCCGTTCACGTCGCGGTCGTTCAACAGCTGCTCAACTAGATAGCGCTGGCCACCGCGAGAGTCCTCTAATGGAGGTGGAGGAGGAGGAAAGACGCTCTCCACACGATCATGGGGATCCGTGTGTTCCCGAGCTTCTTTGATCGCGTAACGCAAGGGTTACGCGACGATCTCGAGCATGAGCGAAATAGGCGTCTCCAAATGGCGGACACTGCCTCGAAGCATCGAGCTGAGTTTGCCTTTGCTCAGCTTGAGAACGAGAGAGCTCTGACATCTCTTCGTGACGAGCTAAGGGTAGCTCGTGGGATTGTTGATCGGTCTCGGGATGAGATAACTACTCTCCAGACCCTTGTCGATGCCCACCATCGGGAGCACAAGGCTCTCTGCGAGATGCTTGAGCGCAAGGGCGTTCTTCATCGGAAGAAGCAGCGTACTGATGGTACGGCTTAAGCCGACCGACGTAAAACGTGGGATGCGTTCGCATCTTACGTGGCAACTCGATCGTGTATGCATTGCCTAGGCAGTGCAATACATGAAATGGGCCGATGTACTTGGGTAGTAGTTTACTACTACCCAAGTTAGTCACTACATGCTTTGGTAGATTAACCGTAGACAGTAGGACTAAGTCACCTTTATTAAATAAAAGAGTGTTTGCCCTTCCATTCTTGTCAGCGTTTTGCTTTTGCTCATCCACCGCTTCGGCGATGGAGTCTTGCACAAAACGGACTACCGTTTCACGAGCCAGTGTGAATTCATCTGATGACTCGTTAGCTTCATTGCGCTGTGAGTGCACTGCAGCAACATCAACCTTTTCTTCAGTGAGGGCTTCCTCGCTCTCACTGGCATCATCTTCTTCGATATCGATGTTGTCGATATCGGCATCAAACGCAATGACCTCTTCGTCAGAGCGTGAAGAGCATGATACAAATCGGTTTTTGCTCGCGCGAGTCTCTCCCCCCCCCTTAAACCAGAGTTACACTCGAGTAAGGTGGGTACACGCGGATGGCGTAAGCCATTCACGTAAAACGGTGTATGTGTCGTGGACGCATGCACCGAGTTGTTAATGGCAAACTCTACCATTGGCAAGAACTCACTCCAAGTCTAAAAGGAGTGTACGTATCCTCGAAGTATCTCTTCGAAGACACGATTGGCACGTTCCGTCTGACCATCTGACTCTGGATGATCAGATGTAGACATCTTCAAGCGCGTTCCAAGTGATTTGAACACGGAGCGCCAGAATTCAGCAGTGAAGCGTGGATCTCTGTCTGATACGAGTTCACGGGACAACCCATGAAGTCGGAAGATGGTGTCGATAAAGACACAAGCACAGCCACTTGCCGTGATTGACTCCCGTACAGCCACAAGGTGTACCATTTTGCTGAATCTGTCAACAAATACAAGAATACCCGTATTCCCGCGTGCGTCTTTGGGTAACCCGAAGAAGAAATTCATTGAGGTGGATTCCCAGCACTTAGCCGGAACCGGTAAAGGCTGCAAAGGTGCACGCAGTGAAGGACTTGACTTCACTCGTTGACAGACTTTGCAGGCGTGAACATACTTTCGCACAAACTGATACTGGCGGGGCCAGTAAAAGTCTCGACTCACCGTGAGATATGTTTTCTCGCGGCCACGATGTCCTCCTACAGGAGCATCTTGATTTTCGAACATGATCCGCAAACGCAGATCAGTATCATCTGGAATGACAACACGTGGTGTGTTACCAGAAACGGCTGTATAATACAGTAACCCGTTGCGAGTAGTGCATCGATCTGATGCAGATCGATACGCAGACGATAACTGTTTCAACGATTCTCAAGATGGCTGTGAGAGATGTGTCAACAACTTCACAATCTCACCATCTTGGGCGTATGCCCGCCTCAAATCATCATAAAACGTTGTAGATGGGACTGAGGACGTCATAACCGCAACAGTGACTGTCTCATTGTTGGGTTTCACGACTGGTTCAAAGTCGGGACGACGTGAGAGTGCATCAGCGACGACATCAAGTCGTCCTGGTTTGTACTCGACCGTAAAGTTGTATTCTGCAAAGAATGACAACCACCGCGCCATTCGTTGTGAAAGGTGCGGGCTGTTCACTGCCGTGCGTAATGACGCATGGTCAGTGTAAACAATGAAGGGTCTATCTCCTAATAGATAGACTCTGAACTTCGCGAGTGCATACTTCATGGCAAGGAGTTCCTTGTCATGCACTGGATAGCTCCGCTCAGCTGGTTGCAGCTGACGCGACTGATAGCAGACGACGCGTTCAACGCCTTCAAGATCGTACTGCATTAATGCACAGCCAATTGCGAAATCGCTGGCATCACAGACTACATGAAATGGCCTGTCCTGATCGGCTATTGCTAGGACTGGGGATTGTATCAAGCTCTGCTTGATACCATCAAAGGAGCGCTGACATTCAGCGTTCCATAACCACCTCTCGTTCTTTTTCAACAAACGAGAGAGATGCACAGTCATCTCGGCGTAATGACGTGAACACTTATGCAAATACGCCGCTAGCCCAAGGAATTTTCGAAGACCTTTGACATCAACCGGCACAGGCCAGTCGGTGATCGCCTTGATCTTTTCGGGATCAGGACGTACACCGTTCTTATCAACGATGCACCCAAGAAGTGGTATTTCGCTTGCTGCAAATATACACTTCTTGAGGTTAGCATACAATTGATGCTTTCGCATGATTGTAAGAACTTGTCGGACGTGGTACCTGTGAACCTCAACGTCCGACTTTCCATCCATAGCTCGACTATGGATGAATACGTCATCGAAATAACTCGGCGCGAATTCTCGTACTGGTCTCAACAGATGTGATACACATCTGTTGAACGTGGCAGGGTCATTACTGAGTCCTTGTGGCATTACTAGCCATTCCCAGAGCATGCCGCTAGGCGTGCTAACTGCGGTATAGGGTATGTAACGTTCTCGCATAAGGATCTGATCGAATCGATCCATCAGATCCATGGACGAAAAGATGGTACTCTTTGCCATACCATCAATGATTACGTCCTTCCTCGGTATCGGCGTCTGAGCCGGTACCGTTGCAGCATTCAACTTGTTAAATGCATGCACTATCCGCCACCCTCCTGTTGCTGTTCGCACACAGAAGGTCGGAGAGCTATGTGGGGAAGTTGATTCCCTCACATGGCCCGCAGCTAAACGATCGGCAAAGAACTTGTCGATCGCAAGTACTTGTTCACGAGGCAGTGGCCACTGCTTCATGACACAGTACTTCGAGCCTGGTTTAAGCTCGACGTCGTGTCGAGTACCTTTATCCTTCGGTAATTCGCACGGAACAGTTTCAGGGAATACATCCTTGAATTCAACCAAATCTTCATAGAGAGGATTTGTCTTGAGCGATTCCCACGATTGGGAGTCATATCGCTCAATTCGTGTCTTTTCATCTAGGACACTCTCGTCCATAGATGAACTACTGAGAACTCTCTCGTTCTCAGTAAACACTGTTGCTGACCTTATTTCGGTTACACACTCGTCGTCAGCGACGAGTACGCAGATCTGCTTGACTTTTCTACTACGCAGATCACGCAAGAACCTTTTGTGTTCGAGCGTTGGCAACTGAGTGATCTCCGAAGTCAACTTCGGAGGCGCAATCAGATCAAATGTATAAGCGCCTACACTGATCCGTTATTGACTATGACATTCAATGTCTCTGTCATTTCCTGGGGACTTATTCCCTCAGGCCTTCGAAGGACTTATTCCTTCGGGCTTCCCGGGGACTTATTCCCGCGGGTTTCGGGGAACTTATTTCCGCCGTATTTGTAATCTTGGGACTTATTCCCTTTACCTCCTCTAGCTGGGGTTGCGCAACCACAGCGAGATCCTCTACGAAAGACTCTCCAGTCGATCTAGGATTATCGTTTCGCTTAACCTGAGCGATCGATTGTTTCTCTTCTAGATGTTCCCCGCTAGGGATACATCTTTGTCCCAGTCCACCCGACTTATTCGAGTGGTGGACCTTCGGCGCAGCCTGTGTTTCCTCACAGCCGCCGAAACTTTGCTCCGAAGTGTAACCGTTTGGTACACTAAGGTTTTTTGCAGTCGTACTAACGACCGTACCACAAGTGAGGCCATCGCACTCACTCGTAGTACATCCACACGCTTGTGAACGCTCCAAAACGTTCATCAGATGGCCATCTGATGAACAAGCGGCAGGCATCGTTACTGTCCGATGTTGCCAGTTTACCCGTGGTTCGTACCTTCTGAGCCATGGTATTCCAAGGATGACATCAAATTTGTCATCCAAATCCAATACGATAAAGTCATCATCATATTGGGTATCTTCTAGCGTATAGTGGATCTCCACTATACGCTTCATGACGGTTGCGAATGCGGCTGTCGCAAGACGTACCTTCATCCTCGTAGGAGGTGTGTCACATGCACTGAAATTGAAGTGACCATCTTCTAGCGATTGGCGTCGCACAAAATTGCTGGACGCCCCACAATCGACTAGAGCTCGAAGGGACAACTTATTCGTCACTTCGAGTTTCAAGGTAATGAGTGAGGATCTCATTACCTAG